GTAGGAAAAATCACTCTCCAGCAGTTGCAGATTTAAAAAAAAATATTACCTTCTTAAGCCTCCACTGAAATAATATATGTCCCCATTAAAATAAATATAAGTAGGAAAAATCACTCTCCAGCAGTTGCAGATTTAAAAAAAAATATTACATTCTTAAGCCTTCACTGAAATAATATATGTTCCCATTAAAATAAATATATTTTTTTTATATGCCCCTATTAAGATAATTTATTAAAAAAGAATTTATTATACGCTTCCACTGAAGTGAAAAGCTAGCTCCGCCACTGCTCTCCAGTATAATATTATTTTTGACATCAAGTATAATATGATAAATTTTACATCTAAACTTTATTTACGATCTACCAAACTTCTTCATATAGCTAATATCCTTAATATACAGCTAAAAACGCGTCTGCGCTAAATGCAATTTAAGGAAGCACTTAATTCACATTTGTTATTGGACGACCACTGACTCACTGAAGTAACCACAACAACATAAATAATAACTTAACGTGGCAGCCACCAAGCGTTGAAAATGTCACTTGTGCCTTTCATCCGATTGATGAAGTTTCCGTTTATAAAATAAATAAAATGCCAATCTCACTAATATTGGAAGAAATGCTTTGATAGAAAAGGTAATATTCTTGTTAAACTTAACAATTTTTTTTTTTATTTACACGACTTGTTATGATTAAACTCATAGAACAGTACAAATTTCTACGAATTCTCTAAATTAAAACACTATAGTTAATTGTTTCATGCTCGGCGTTTTAGTAAATTACGGAGTACGGACAAGTAAAAAAGGGGGAAATTACGGACAAGTAAAATTAGGGGGAAAAGGAGGAGTTAGCTATCTCGTTAGATAATAAAAATATATTATTAAAATTTAGCATAATATATTTTTAAAGATTTTTAATTTTTAAATAAACATTTAAAATAAAATATATTCTTTAATTTGATTTGAAATAAATAAAATGAGTTGATTGGAAATTAAGTTTTATTATTAGGGTCATTTTAATAATTTTAGACAACGACAGCAGAAGCTGCTGTAGAAAAGTAACTCCTGACCTGCTTCTCAAATTCTGTTATGGGACAACAGTTTTTAAAAGGTGCTGGACAAAAGCAGATTTTGCTAAATACCCTAACCTGTTGTAGTTTCTTAAAAAAACTAAAAGCAACCTCTAAAAGCAATACCAAACAGGCCCTTAAAACACTATGGATCCGTTTAAAAAATATACTTAAATCATGATTTATGATATAATATTTGAAGTATGTTGAAAGAAAAAAATATGTAATTAGTTATTTTTTCCCACACTATAAAATTTAATTATGTAATTAAGTCATTATAATTGTCTTTTTTTGTGTGATTATTTTATGCGAGGATCTATTTATCACAAAGAATTTTAATTTAAAGGGAGTATAATGAGTAAAAAGAGTTGCGTGAATTATAACCATTCATAGAGTAATTTTTTACTTTTTCAAGGCGGCGTGTTGATTATTTATTTTTTTGTTTGATTTCATATTTCTATTGACAGTAAAATCCTACGTATATAAAAGAGTGCATATGAGTTCATGTAGTTTTTTTCGTCGTCCAAAACGGTGCGTTTTGGTGCTTTTTTTTTTTATTTTTTAAATTCTCTTGTAATTAAAACTTATTATTCCCTCCTCTTTCCCACGCTATAACTTATGTTCAGAGTGTTAAAAAAAATAAAATTAAAGAGGATTCAAACTTTATATTTTGGGGTGGAGTTAGGTTGCAAACTTTAATAGGATAAACATACTACCACTTAATGTATATTATTTTTTTGTTTCTGAGTAAAAATTTTCATTTTTTTATTGTTATTTGTATTTTACATTATACAAACCTTAATTATAATTAAATACGTGCATCACATATATCAAAACTAGTATCTATAAAAGAGTCCTATGTACCTCTTTACATGATTTATGTTTGTGAAGTTCAATACTAATTACCAGTTCATTCGAATTAATAAATAAAATCATTTTATGTTGTGTTTTCTATAATAGAAGGGTGTGTTAATGTGAAAGTGAATTGGTTCCTTTTTTTTTTTTCATTTAGAAAAAAAAAGGTTTTTTGTTTTTGTTTTTTTTGGCTGGAAGTTTAGAAAATAAAACGTCCCGTGAAGATTCATGTTTATTAATTGATTTTTCACTTCCACAGAAATCAAAATCTCGAATTAGATTTCTCAAATTTGTCGTAGGCAAGCGCCGAGTCCGTGCTGTATATTATGTCACCCACCAAACAGACCATCTTGCTGGACCACGAAAGGTTTTTCTGGGTAATGGCAGTGTCACCTAAAAATTTATTTCGGAATAATATTAAACGAATAAAAAGAAATCACAAGGATAGTTAGGACATTTCGTGCCAAGTAAAAGGCCTCGTGATTGAGGAAGGCTCGTCATGGATCTATTGGTGGGGGTGAGGAAGAAGCTGTGGGATCCACAATGTTCCTCTTGACGTGGTTACTTCTTTCTTTCCCCATTTTTTTTTTATCTGCCAGGATTTAATGCTATTATTTAAAAAGTGTTTCTAAATAAAAACAAAGATAAATAAATAAACAATGAATTTATCACCCTAAAAAAGAAAAAAAAACTTATTAAGAAATCAAATTAATCCCTCTTCAGGAGAATCACTCAAAGATAAAAAAGAAAAATCAATAAGGATTCGTTTAATACGAGAATTTAAATGAGAGTGATTCTAATCATGAGTTTAGAACTAGAATATGATTCATGATTTTAGGTTCAAATTATGAATCTGAAACGATGATTTAAAATCAGGGGTTTGAATCACCTTGAATCAAGAGATGAGTAGTTTTAGAATCATGAGTGATTCTGATTTAAAACATCATATTTGATTCTGAATCATCTAAACTAAATATTGATTTTAAATTATGATCTAAAATCACTGTAAACAAACACTGATTTTAAAATATGATGATTATGAATTTATCTACTAAACGCTCCATAATTAAAATAAAAGTATGCTTTACTTTTTTTTTTTACTTGATGAAACATGAAATTAGATTTTAGATTCAACAATTGAACTAAATCAAACCCAAGTCAAATAACATAGAGTAGGTTAAGGCGACATTTGGATTTGTGATAGTGCGAGTTCGGTCGGGTAAAAAAACAGCAAAAGTAAGAATCGAAGAGGAGATATATCAAAGAGAGCAATAATTTTCAGAAAAAAGGAAAAAAAAAATAAAAGATGTGGGAGAAAAAAAAAAGCAGGGTCTCTTATTATTATTAGAGATATAAAAAAAAGCAAATTAAAATGATGTAAAAATGTTGATAACGGAAAGGACAAGAAAGTGAACAAATTTACAGAAACACACCCACCTCCCCACTGTCTCCCCTCTTTATCTCAGGGTCTCTTATTATTATTAGAGACAGTCTTCACTTCTCTCCTTTTCACAACACATCAATTCAACTTTCTCAACCCATGATTCTCATTTTGACCCCCCCCCCATTTTCTCTCTCTCTCTCTCTCTCACTCTCTAATTATTTTAATCACATAAATTAACGAAGTTAATTCAAGTTTATACTCTACTAATCTTTCTCTCTCTCTCTCTCTTATCTCCTTTCAAACACATTGCTTTACCTCTCACACATATAAGTTATAAAATAATAACACATTACATTACATTATTACATATAAGTCCTAGTCTTCTCTCTCTCTCTCTCTCTCTCTCTCTCTGAAGCTTTTTTTGTCAGTTTCTCGGAGTGGAAAAATCCAATGGCGAAAGAGCTTCTGCAACTTCCTGTGCCGGAGCTTCTTCTTCTTCCTCTTCTTCTCCTCCTCCTTCTTCTGCAGCGCTGTCGTTTTGCAGCTCTTTCGCTGATGTCCGTGTCTCTCACAGTCACATTGTGATCTCTTCGATCCAGTTTACTTGTCCTTGTTCAGGTACATTTTGCTCTCTCTCTCTCTCTCTCTCCAACTCTTTCTCTCTCTAAGATTCCGCCATTTTCGGTTTGGACTTTCTTCTTCTTCTTCAATTTTCAAGGTACATTTGCGTTTTCAGGTCCTTGTCAGAGATTTTCCGTGTTCAATTTCATTTTCTTTTCGTCTTCTCCCTCTCCCTCTCTCTCTCTCTCTAAGATTTTTGATTTGTGGTGTGTGACTAACTTTGTTAGATAATTTACCCGTACTCTTGTGTCTCTGTCTCGTGCTTTTTTTTTCCTTCCTTTTTCTTTTTTCGGATTTATAACAGCTTTTGGTTGCTGAGAAAATGTAGGGAAGTAAAGCAGAGTACATTATTTGGTTAGTGACTTTTCTTGCTAAATGAGATCTGGAAAACAAAGGTCTGAACTTAGTCAAGCTGAATACTAACTCTTTACTTCAGCTGATGTCAGAGTTTTGCCTTGAACATAAAAAATTTGTGTCTTTTAATGTAATCATCTTTTTTTTTTTTTTTCCTGAATCACATTTTCATTTCAGCGTACTACTTGAGAGCTTTTGTTTTTTTTTTTGTTTGTTATATATATATATATTGTGAGAAACGGAGTTATTGAGATCAAGATTGTTAAAATAGGTTTTTTTTGTTCATTATTATTATTATTTCTAGAATTTTTTCCTTTGCCTTCAAGGGTCTATCTATTATTTTGGAGTGGTAAAACTGTATTTTCTTGGTTGTTATTTGTTTCTTTCTTAAGGTTAAGAAAATGTGTTTTTTTTTTTTTAAAGATATATGCTAGTCTTGAGTAGCTTTACCGATAATGTAGCTTACTTAGGCTACTTCTTTGCTAATAGCGTTTCATGTTTATGTACTCAAGAATTGGAAAATATGGGTTTGTGGTTATGTGAATGCCTATGCAAGAAGTTGAATCTTTAATGTTCTATGAACAGAGAAAGGGAATACCAAGTTTATCTGATGGAGCAATACGACGTATTAGAGCAAATTGGGAAAGGGGCTTTTGGTTCTGCTCTTCTTGTGAGGCATAAGCATGAAAAGAAAAAGTGAGAATTGTTCTCTTTTTTTTTCCTGTATTTTTTTTTTAGTTTTAACTTAAGTGTGTTGTGATACTGTAATGCATCTTTGGAGGTTTGATTTAATTTACTTGTTTCTATACATTACTTAAGGTACGTATTGAAAAAGATTCGCCTTGCTCGTCAGACTGATAGGTCTCGCCGATCTGCACACCAGGAGGTTGGTAATCGTTGTTTGTAATCCTCTCAACAATTGATATATAATTGGTTCTTTTATTTCCCAGTTGTATTTTTCTCTTTGAAAAATTGCTTTTTAATCCAGTCTAGCATTTTAGATATAGCGTTTTTCTTTTGTGAAAGCTAATCTTTACTAAGAAGCAAAAGGCAGTAAAAGGAAAACGTTGCAGGGTCGAATATTAATGCTTTAGCTAGTTGTTCTATAGCTTGAGTGTTTGATGTGGCATTATGTTTTTATCGATGATACTACATTGACGAATTAACCTTTCTTCTGATTTCAATAGATGGAGCTCATTTCCAAATTACGTAACCCATTTATTGTGGAGTACAAAGATTCTTGGGTAGAGAAGGTATGTGTTGCCTGCCCTTTGTTTCTTCATTTTCTAGTGGCATAAAAGTTGCTTGATTAATTAATTCCCTGAAGCTGGATAAGCCTTCTCTCTTCTGTACTCTTCTTCTTTTCAGTTTGGTGTTGCAATATATCCATTCTCTTTCTCAATTCCCGGAGATCTGTTTAATTATTCTTTTTGTATGATTTTGGTGGACTAAAACTGGTTGCACTGATCCCCTTGTTGTCAGGGTTGCTACGTATGCATTATTATAGGTTATTGTGAAGGAGGAGACATGTAAGTTTTTTCTCACTTCAAATTTAAATGGTGAATTCATCTTCTTGACTTAAAGCTTTTCATAACCCTGCCTTTCTTTGTATGGTACAGGGCAGAAGCTATTAAGAAGGCCAATGGCATTCTTTTCCCTGAAGAGGTTTCCCCCCCTCTTTTTTAGCCAAAAAAAAAATAGAAAGTTTTTTCTTATGGTTGTGGCAAAAATCTAGTTTTTACACTATCCATGTTTTACTTTTATGTATTAGTTGCGAGGAATCCTGTGTTTGTATTGCAACTGACTCCTGAAATTTGACTTTTTTTCAGAAGCTCTGTAAGTGGCTTGTTCAACTCCTAATGGCCGTTGATTACTTGCACATGAGTCATATTCTTCATCGTGATGTTAAGGTCAGTGGCCATCTCTTTCACTCACTTTCTCTGGCATTTTCGACACATCTTGAATACTGATGGCTTCCCGCTACTATTTCAGTGTTCAAATATATTCTTGACAAAAGATCAAGATATACGTCTAGGTAAGTCATCCAATAATGGTCACGTTTTTCTCTTTTTCTCTCTCTCTTTTGTTTCACCCCCGAGGAATTGTATTTGCCTAACAATGGTTGGTCAAATGGTGGAACAGGTGATTTTGGACTTGCTAAAATGTTGACCTCGGATGATCTTGCTCTGTCTGTAAGTAGTTAAAATTTTTTAACTTTCTAAAACTTTGGGTCTTGTTTTTATGTCTATCCTTCTATTCAAAATTACGATTTTGTGTTTCAGGTTGTGGGCACACCCAGCTATATGTGCCCTGAGCTTCTTGCTGATATACCTTATGGTTCAAAGTCAGATATTTGGTCTTTGGGTAAAGCTCTCTTTGTGGGTCTTCAAGTTCTTCCGCTTTAACTACTTTTTGAGTTATTTAACACAAGTACTCCTCTGATCCAGGATGCTGTATATATGAAATGGCGTCTCTAAAACCTGCATTTAAAGCATTTGTGAGTTTCGTCCCTCTGATTCACTATAACCTATAAAGTTCCGAGCACAATTGAATTTCCCTGTAATTTTAAGTTTAGCTGCTTTGCATTGCAAAGTTTGTTTTATTTCTATTTATGGTTAATTATATTGTTATTGAGCAGGACATACAAGCACTGATTAACAAAATTAACAAGTCCATAGTGGCACCCCTTCCAACAAAGTACTCGAGTCAATTGTAAGTCATCTTATCTTTGTCCAACAACTTCTTAGCAGTGTGGACCAGTAGTAAATTTCGAGTTATAGGGACTATTTTGGTAAAATGAAATTAACAGCCTTCCCAAATTTTGAGTGGACTATAAATGCAAGTGACACACACACACAAAGAAGAAGAAGAAGAAGAGAGTTTGTAAAGGAGTGATTGCCAGCTTTAGCAAGAGTTAACCTGTACATTGTTATTAGTTAATTACTAATTTAATAATTGATAATTGATTATTGTTGGTTAATCATTTATTTTTATTTCTATTTCAGTCGGGGTCTTGTTAAAAGCATGCTGCGGAAAAATCCAGAACTTAGGCCAAGTGTAAGTATAATTCTTCTCCAGTCTACATATTCCAGAAATATGTCAAAAGCTTCATATAACTACATGATTTTCTTGGACTTGCTCTCTTGCTATCCATCATTATTACACTACATACGCTACGAATGTAATCATTCATACTGCTTCAAACGAGAAGTCTTGGATCTAAGGAGTATAAATTACATACCCAATTTGTCAATTAAAAAAAAAAAACACTTTCTTTCTGTATGGACTACTCTAATTAACTGAGAGCAAAAAGATGCTGTGTCACGAAAATTTTTAACTCGAGAGCCACGAATTAGGCAAAAGTGGTAGTAGGACACGTGCAAGGGTAAAAGATGATGAGTCACGTGCAAGTAAATATATCGTAATAAATTTTCGGAAAGTGTAGAATACGCCCACAAAATGCGATGATTCTAAAGTGCAATCTTATTACATTTGTGATTTTGATTTGCCATGTTCTGGTTTCTAAAATGCAACGATTCTAAAAGGACTCCCTCTTGGTTATGTTTAAGGGTGAGCTAAGAATTATGTCCTGTATTGGCAGGCTGCAGAGCTGCTTGCCCATCCATACCTTCAGCCTTACGTTCTTCAGGTTCATCTCAAACTCAATGGCCCCAGACGTAGTTCTTTGACAGTCCAGAGGCCTCAATCCAATTACACGCGAAGAACAAGATTTTCGGAGCCCGAAGTTCTCTCATCCAATTATCGGGAGAAGCGACATTCATTCAGCAATGACAGGACTTTGAATCCAAGTATATCTGGAGGTGAGCAAGATTCTCTTTGCTCTACCCAAGAAATACATGACATTCAAAACAATCTGAATCAAAGGTTCACAGAAGTGTCCGTTGGAGACTCTCACAAAGAGCCAGCCACTTTTAGACGGCCAGTCACTTCCAAAACTCCAAATATAGCTAAGACTTCAAGGCTTACTTCATCAAAAGCCTCTGCTACTCCTAAACGATGGAGTGAGCCCCTAAAGAAACTTGCATCGGTAGGATCAATTTGGAGACCCTCTCTCTCTTAGACATGAATCCCTTTCATGAATGCCGGCTTTTCAAGTTCTCATTTTTTTTGTCTTTCATTTATGTTTCCCAGGTGCCTGGTTCACGGACTCCAAAGAATTCTGTCTCAACAACTCGCAGAGCGTCATTGCCATTGCAAACAGGAAGCACTGCAACTCAACAATCCCTATACAGGCCTAATGTTGGCATCCTTCAATATATACAATCTCCTGACGTTTCTGTCAATTCCCCTCGAATCGATAGGATAGCCGAGTTTCCATTGGCCTCGTATGAATACGGTGACCATTCAATCACCAAAGACAAATGCACAATTCAGATCTCTGACAGAGCTTCCGAGAAGCCCAGATTTTCGGATGCATGGCAGGGAATTCAACGCAGCGTCTTTAAGGTAGGCAGGGAATATGGAAGTGATGAAGGCTCTGATCAAAATGCAACTGCTGGGGCATCAAGCCACACCTCATCGGACTTGCGGCGGCGCCGGTTTGATACCTCGTCGTACCAGCAAAGAGCTGAAGCTTTGGAGGGGTTGCTTGAATTTAGCGCTAGATTACTCCAACACGAAAGATATGATGAGTTGGGGGTTTTGTTGAAGCCTTTCGGACCCGGAAAAGTCTCTCCTAGAGAAACTGCTATTTGGTTGACCAAAAGCATCAAGGAAAATACAGTCAAGCAAGAGGATTGACACCACTCTACTTGCTGCCACTTGTACCATAATTGTAATTGCCACGATTTAGGATTCTAAATTCCTAGTTACAAGTTTACTGAGTTCGGAACCAGACACTATTAATCACAGATTAAGATTCTCTGGTTTATCAAATGGGACAAGTTGATAGAGATTTCTAGATATTGTATCTAACCGTCTAACTTCTGCAGTTTTGCAGTTTAGCTGGATTTTATTCAGTGAAGATGTAATCTTGCTCTTCTTTTCTTTCTTTTCATCTTTTATCTTTTTTCCCTGTTCTTGAAATTCTAAACAGTATGAACTTTTATTAATTTACATTCAGACTTGAGCTCATGCATGGCTTAAATTGTTTCATTGTATGACTGAGAGAGCTTCGATACATGAACAAATTAATTTGAAGGAGACAGTTCCTTGAAAGCCAACAATGAAATTGAGCTCGTATATTAAGAACAATTAGGAATTAGTAATATTCGCCAATATCTCTTGTACTGCAGTTTAATCTTTGATTATCCAACGTCTCATGTATCCATTCTGCAGATTCTCATAATTGGCTCCAAGTTAGCAGCGGTTAGAATAAACTGAAATTGGGCTGCATTCACACAAACGCAACAATTAGTAACTATAAAAGAATATAGTTATAAAATAAGCCAAGCCTCGAACGTAAAATACGTACCTCATACGCAGAAAGAGACTCGTGAAAGTGGGAATGACTAATTGGAGTAGAATCAGAATCATACTTGCTGTTTCTGAAGGAACTTTTAGTCTTGTAGAGTCTGACAAACCAGGGGTCATGATTTTCGCTGCCGCTATCGTATTTGCACTGCGAAGATGAACGTTTCATGACCGGATCATCCAGAGAGAAATGCATCCCATCAGCAATCTCCGTCTGCTTGTTCTTATGTTTCATGCTCCATTTGGGTCTTCGCTTTGGTTCACTCTGTGATCTGACTTTAGCCCTTGAAGATTCTGTGTTGGTCATGTAGTTTGGCGAGAACCGATAGCCATACGACATGGGGTCTTGATAATTAGGCTCTTGGCGAGTGAAAGAGGCTGTTCTTGGGTCTGCTTTTATGGTCATGTAACTTCTTGGACTGTTTTCTGCTGTACTGAAGCAATACTCCTCATATTGATGTCGTTTGGAGATCGAAAGAGGTTCAGAATTAAGTGTCGTGTTTATCCTCTCAATTTGCGCATGATTGAGATGATCACTTGTACTTTTTGAAATCTGTCGAGTTTCATTTGGATTTATACTGGCTCTCTTCTGCATTTATAAATAATAATAAAAAAAAAGATCATGACATTTCAGAGAATTAGACAGTTTGACTGTTTAAGTGGTTGGTTAAGTATTCAACCACATATATCCTAGTTTGGTTGGTTAGAAAAAAAAGAAAAATCTATTTAAGTGGTTGGTTAAGTATTCAACCACATATATCCTTGTTTGGTTGGTTAGAAAAAAAAGAAAAATCTATGTCTGAAGAGGAAAAACACGAAAGGCTAAACTCACTCTATTATCATGAGGGAAACCGTTCTCCATTGATGATTGACTTCTAACAACAATCTGTGCTTCCTCTGCCATCTGAATTCTATGAACACGAGCTCTAACTTGAATCGACATCAAAGCGTGCATGCGCTTCAAAGTAGATGCTGTTTGTTTCCTCACTATGTGACCCCTTACAAGTGCTTGTAACTTCACTAGTCCCTTTAATGCGTGTAATGCTCTTCTTGCCTGAAACAACCATAATCCATCAAAAACTTGGTTAAAACTTTTGGTCATTAAAGAGTTATGGGAAAAAGGGTATGCAGTTTGCACCAGATAAGATCGAAAGGCAGCTTGAATCTTGGTCGCTGCAGCATTTTCGACGTGTCCTCGAATAGCCACCAATGCCTCAATATGGTTCTGGCGAGCCATGGATTCTGCCGGAGCCTGCACGGGGAGTTTACTGGCGTCAATTGAGTCAAACGACTTGGAAAGCTTGTAGGATGCTCCTTTTCCTGATAATTTCCTAAAGCTCCATTTTTTCCTAACTTTCGGAGTTCCTGGTTGGCTCTCCATCTTGGTAGATTGATACTCCAGAGAAAAGGCAGTATTAATCTTCTTTTTGTCCTCCTTTTTCCCCATCAAAAAGTTCCTCATCCATTTGCTTGCCTTTCCCATCTTTGTTGCAGAAACTCAAGTGTCCCACTTCAAAACTAGTACCAAAACAGGAAGAAAATACCCTGCTCAATACACCCGTCTAACTTATATAGGACAGTGCTAATCTTAAAAAAATGTGATCTCTGTTGACTTGTACAACAATACAGTACAGAGTAAAATCTTTTTTTTGTTTAGGACTCTCCCACGTTGAATATTTGTCATATGCAATTATTTAATGGTGCGGCCTGCAGGAGTTTTTCCTTATTAAGCCACTTGCCGCTCTAGAAGTGAGTATAACTTGTTCATGGTTTAAGAATTCCTAGAGATTTTGTTTCTTTAGGAGTCGTCAAATGGAAACAGAGCTTGTGTTGTATTTAATTTTTGTTAGTGCATGCCCGTCTTGATGTTACAAGTCAAAGGACTCACTCCAAAACCGACCAGTTTTTCCAACTTCATTCGGTGAAAGAATTGCGAGTCATCTGCTACATTTTTGTTTCTTCTGAAGGCTGAACCCAGGCACCAAGGGTCAGATTGCGTAATTCTTCTTACCATCAGTCACCTATAGTAAAGGTTACTCTTTTCTTTTTTTTTGCCCCCCCTTTAACAATGGAGTTACAATCACCGTCTTTATTTACCAAATGGCACGATGGTTGACTATTTTTTTACTGACACAATTTTTTAAGTGAATAGAATTATCACGGACAAGTGGTGGACAAAAAATAGAAAAAAAAAATGGAAAAATAAGACAAATAGCTTGTAGAGTGTATGAGTCTTGAATTTTTAAACCACTTTTACTCTTAATTAATACCTTTAATCAAATATTAGTCAAAAAAATATTAGTCAAAAAAATATTAATAAAAAATAAAAGATAAAAATTCAGACTCTGTGCAAGATCAGTAATTTTCTCTAAAAAAAAAATAACTGTTAGTTGTTACCATTCTTTCGTTGACTCAATATACTTGAACTGAAATGCTTTCAAGGCCTCGATTGATCACATAGGAGTCGAGAAATACACGTGCTCAGAGACAGGTCAGCAAGATGCAATACATCGCTTCACTTGTTTCACAATTCTCTAGTTTTGCAGTCCAAAAGCAGAGTAAAGTACGCCATGAGGCCAAAAAGCATTAGAGGAAACGTCAAACCCTAACAAGACCAAAATTACTTTGGGCAATGCTTCAAGAACAATAAACCCCAACGTTTTAATCTTAAACATGCATTATCATGAAGTTAAGTAAATATGTAAACCTCACCAATTTGACCAAAACTCAGTTTAGCCTAACTAAAATAACACAAACTGCAAACGACAGTTCTAAATTTGGGGAATTATTCATTAGCCTCTCAGTGTTGTGCTGGCCTCAAAAAGTCGAGGGGAACTCGTCTTAAAATATTTGCCAGTTCTTGAACAACTGAAGATCTCCTACCTATCATAAATCCATCTGCACCACAAGTGATTAGAAATCTTATAACAGACAAGATTAAGAAACAACATATAACAGCAAAGCAGGAGCATGGCACCTCTAAAATTGACATTCATACTAGAAAAGAAGCCTTTGGGTTATGACTTAAGCATCTCAAGATGAATGGTTCTAAGCAACTTGAGTACCTCATAACAAGATAAATATAAAAAAAAAGGTTACAGGCAGTTATCTTTCATAAAAATTAACTTCAACAGTCACTCTTTAGTTGATCTGACAACAACTATGAAGCATCTATCACTAGTACTATGGTTTCTCCGGATCTCAGGAAAAATTCAACAAATCAGTTTATAACAAAGCTCTTCAAAAGTTAATTCAACAGCCCAGATTTTTTATTTAAAGGCTCAAAAGTACGTTTTCTTCACCTTTAATCATCTAAGCTTCTGCTTTCCACTGCTCCTCATTGCGGCCTCTTTGACCTTCTCCAAGTAACCTTCAATAGGAGGAGTAAGAGTTGCCAAGTAAAGATCTTTTGGGGCTGTAGTCGGATCCGGCACCAATGCAGCTGCCTTCAAATGATCAGGCAATGCCTCAATCGCATCCTTCTTCATTCGTAACAGCGTCGACTCCGCTGCTTGTTTTGCCCGATGACGCCTCATCAAAATTCTACTGTACTCCTTAGCAAGCCTCTTCCCATCTTCAGCCGTGAGTTCATACTTAGGTATCTCATTCTCATCAACCAAACCGAGGGTTATCAGATCCAAACCAGGAGTCCCGATAATCGCCGGTTTCTCAGAAACCCCGAGTTTTTCCTTATCTTTCTTCAGCATCTCAAGCTCCCGCTGCCGGTCCTTGCTAATAAGCCCCATTTTCTCCCTTTCCGCTTCGCGCTTCCTTTGTTTCGCAGTCAAGTGCCTAACAGGCGTGGGAGCATTCAAGATTTCATCATACATCTTTTCAAGCCTCTCCTTTTCACTGTTCCCTCTCCCTTTACCTTTAGCAGCAGGCGGCGCACTGCCTTTTCTTATAGTCACCTTATTCCGCTTCAATGGACCAGCCGCTTTCAGCTTCCCTTTGCCCTTGGCAGTTCCACTCACAGAGCATCGTTGAAGGAATTGGTGGCTAAAAGATTCAATAGACGACGATATGGGTTTCGATTTCAAGATTCTTATCATCTTAACAGATGATAGTTCTAACCTAGATTCTTCAAGTAGCTTACTTCAAGATTACTGCATCCAAAGTAAACAAGCAATTACCAACAGTGAACTATACATATTCAAAACAACCTTTTCAGCAGAAGTCACTTAGAATATACAAAAATCAAGACAAACACTTTGTTTTCGATTCCTTAACATTATTTAAATTTGGAATCTTCAATCTATCATGGGAATTTTCATGACTATATCAGCACCCTTTTTTTTTTTATGCGTAGAAGAAAGTATCTATTAACCAATAGATACAATCAATGGTGAAAGATATCAAACCATTAAAATGTCTCTTTCTATCCTAAAAGCAAATGAGGATAAATCATGTATCGTGAAAACAAAACATAAAAGATTTATCAAATTGCTTGGAAGAAGAAATGAGACACAAGGACAATTATCTGAGAATGAAAAGCCAAATGCAAAACGGACCTGAAAAATAAAAAATAAAATAAATAATTAGGATATATCTTAAATTAGTGGCATGCTTAAGGAAAATAAATCGAAAATGTACTTATCTTGAAACCACAGTCAAATTTCCAAAAATTGCAATATTCAACCAAAGTTGATTTTTTATTTTAGTGAGTGGGAGTAAGGAAGGAAGGCCTTCATTACCAGCCTCTTTTTAATACATAGCAAAGTAAAACCCTTTAAGGCAATCAAAAGCGCTAAAAAACAGTAAAAAAATAAGACTAGTTGTAATAAGAAATAAGCGCGGTTATTGACTTTTGAAATAAAAGTAATTAATGAAATGTAGTTATCCTAATAAGGGGAAATTTTTTTAAATGTTTCAGAATGAAACAGAAGGAACATTTTTAATAATCCAAAAGTAATGGTCCATATTAGCAGAAATCTGCAAACAGGATAATAGTAATAAGATTTAAAGTTAAAAAGAGATTAGAATTTTATATTTTTTAAAAGAATTATAAAGATGAGAAAGTGTAACTTATGAGGAAACTTAAGTAATGTAGCATTTAGATCTAAATCATCAACTTTTTGGTTATTTAATGATAAGAACTAAATATAATCATAAGAAGTTGTCATCATAATAACTAGATAATATGAGTAAAACTTTAAGAAAAGTACTGTTGAAACACCCATAAGAAAAACTATTTAAACTCTTACATGAAGAGACTAGTGAAACTCAAGAGGAAAGAATATTACACTGACTAAAGAAAATTGCGGAGTGCGAGAAAAACATCAGTTGTAACAAAACAGAGAAAGAGAAAATCTAAGAGTAACGTATTTTATGATACAAGACAATGACCTAAATTATTATATATAGATAAACAGCAACATGTATAGCAGAATTTGAATCAATAGGAAAAAAATCAATTAGGGTAAAGGAACAAGCATAAAACCATCGCATAATGCAACAAGTGCATAAACTAAAGAAACACCCAGATAAACAAGGATAAACTCAAAGATATTCTAGGAAAAAAAATACCATATAGTGGGAATACATATGGATTACAGAAGAAGCTCCAACCCAATCTAGTTGCCAAACAAAGAAAGAGGAAAATAATCCTAATCTATACAAATCATTAAAACCATTCACACAGTACTTAATCCAAACACTAAATCTATAACATATTTTCATCAGTATCGATACTACTATTACAGTGTAGACATAAACTAGTCAGGACAACATAAAAGAAATTGTAGAAGTTTACTACTGTTTAATGTGACGGGATGATAAAATACATTGTACTTTGCTAAAAAAAAAAAAAAATTAATACATTGTACTAAAACAATCAAATTATGCAAAATAGTACCATACTCTAATTGAATTACCCAAAGAAAAAACAAATTTACATAAACAAACTTCTGAATGTCAAAACAAATTCTTAAAATAAAGCCAAATATGAACAAGCGATGATATTTTAAAAAATACTTGTAAAACCATGAGATGAGACTCAAACCGAGAGGATCCAATTAGTGATTAAAGGCAATGCTACATTAGAACCGTATAGAATCACTTCCAATCAAGGGAGATCGGAGATATGACTCAGTACCAAACAAGACTTGAACACAACTTCGAAGATGGGAGGTTCGTTGAACTCATCGATTGAAAGGTAAAGTGGCATATTTTCCATAGGCAGAACAGAAGACAAAATTGATTCGATTTCGACGACAGATAAACCACAACAAAAGAAAGAAAACGGTTTACAAAGGATTCAAATATGGAAGAATGTCCATGTTTTCAATTAAGGTTACATAATAAACTTAAAAGAGACAGGATTTGTTAGATTTCCCAATCCCAAACAAACATATCGAAAGTTTCAATAAAATCAGAGAAAGAGAGAGACCTTTTCGAAATAGAGGCGAGGAAGGCATGGACCAGAATGAGAGCAATCGAAGGTGGCGTTACTTCCAATTCCTCAGGGGGTTTCTTTGAAACTCAGCAGAACTCTACCCGCAATTCCTCCGATTTTATTTGTGCCAAGGCCGGGCGTGAGCGGAAAGTATTATTCCAAGATTAAAGACGACAACTTTACCAGATTCTTAGACAAGAGCAGCGAAACCGAAGAAGAAGATTGGCTTCGGGTTGTGCTGCTGTAAATGTAATGGGAACCCTAGTTGTACCAAGGATAGAGAGAGAAAGAGACAGAGGACGATGAGTTTTACGTATCGTTCTCTAAAAAAATATGCTTTGTTTTAAAAATTTTCAAACTTCTCAGTTGTTCTTCTTGAGGCAGTTAATAGCATATCAGCAACTATTTTATTTAACTGATAAGAACCGGGAAATTTGGGACTTGTAACCTAAATTGGGCAAATCTGGTCTACAACGAAAACTATTGCCAGACGATCTAAATTTGCCTACGATTACCCAACTTTAAGGGAAGAAAAACGAAGCGAATCAAAGAAAAAGAGAGAGAAAACCACAAGATGAAACGGAAATGATAAGAGTACCTGGGAAGAATGTGACTCGGCGGCGAAAATGGCGGTCGCGGCGGGTTTAGGCGACGGAGATTTGTGAGTGTCGTTTGGAGACGAGGGCTTTTGGAAGGTACAAACTACAGAGGGAGAGCAAGAGAGAGACTCGGAGATGGTGCAGAGATAGAGAGTAATGTCGTTTCACCTCCGACTATCTGGACTGGACCTCACTTGCATCTTTTGATGGGCTTTCTCCGAATACTTGGAGCGACTATAGTAGAAATAAGCCCCTTTTCACCTTCTGTTAATGGGTAATCTTCATTATATTCTTAAAAAAGAGCGCGAGTCAAAAATTTTACTTTTTATTTTTAATTAATAAATTTTTTAGTTAAATAATTACATTAATAAAAGAGTATTTATCAAGACTAAAGGATAAAAGATTATGCACTCTTAAAGGTAAATTCTCTATTTTTTCCTTTGTTAAATAAATAAATAATACACATAAATAGTAATTAGTAAAACACTTGCGTTAACCATAGTGCAATTGTATAATATTGAAATGTTATTGTTGCTCCAGGGTACACAAGTCTTGTAAGATTGATAGAGGAGTGCACAATCCGAAACCAACATTTATTGATTAAAAAGTACAATGCGTGGAAATTTTATGAGTGTGAAATCGAAATGCAACAAATCTTTTGAAGTATTTTAAAAATAACAAAAGCTATATAGTGATTATTATAATGATATTCATGTTTACGCTTTAAAATCACGTACTCATTATTTTAGTGATATTAATTTTTGTTCTTTATAAAATATTTTAATTTTTTTGCTATTTTTAACATCAATAGTGAATTTTATGTCTGCCTAAAGTCTAGTCTTAAAACTGTTGGTGACAAAGTTCAAAGAAGATGTCATAGTGTTACTTATACCAATACCACAAGAAAAATGAAAAAAAAAAAAAAAAAAAAAAAAAAAAGGTTTTTTTTTTAATAAAAACTCTATAAAAAAAAAAATGAAATAGAAACTACGCCTAGTGGTAGAAGCTTCTACACGCTATTGGCATCATAGACTTTGATAAGCATTGAGAAAATATGCACCAAATCTAATATGCCACGGTCTATAAATTAGAATAGAGCATCACATGAAAATTAAGGACTGATTTGTTGATTTAAAAATTCCTACACGTCATCCCTCTGTCTGTTTTCCGTTTGAATTGGGAAAAGAATTATTGTTTATTCATCGTCCATTTCCCTTGTCTTTCCGTTTGTTTGGCTTTTGGGGTCATTATATTACACTATACAATAGATGAATCCATTGACTTTAGAACCTATAAATTTCTTTATTTTGTCCATCTCTAGAAACACAACTTTCAATTCCTTCCTCTTAGTCTTAACCAACCAAAAAAAAAAAAAAATCAATTTCTCGTAGCTTATGGAATTTCGTGGTAAAGCGGCAATTTGGAAAGGGAAGGACACGGAAATTATGGGCCACGGAGCAACTAGTTCATCTCATCTCTTTCATAGATTTGGAAGTCTCAAATTAATACTCTTTTATGCTTAACAATAGCCGAATAACATAAACATAAAACAAATAAACAATTATATATTGTTGTAATTCCATTATTTGGAGTTATTTATTCTCCATGGAAGGCATAATTACTCGGTTTTGATTTTCAGTTGCGAATTATTATTTTTTTAAGTGAACATTTAAAAGAAAGAAAGAAAGAAAGAAGGAAAATGAAGGACGATATCCCACAAGTCTGTAGTTTGTTAAAAGTGAGAAGCTCCTTTCTCAGACCGCTACTTCTTTTTTATTATTTTTATTTTTATTTTTTAAGACTTGCTCGCCGCCCAAACTTGTTTAAATTAACACGTCCTAATTAACTGATATCTCAATAAATAATATATACCGTGTCAACGACATTAAATTAATCAAATCATTTCAGAAAGAAGAAACACATATAAAATCCCAATTGGCAATAATTGATTGATTTATTCAAAGATAAGAAGAGATCGGTGTTGTTAATTAATTTCACATGCAATATATATTCGCATTAAGAAAAATAAATAAATAAATCTACAAGTAATCTGTTCCACTTCAGCAAAAGTCTAAAAGAGAAGCTTCTATGATAAAGATAGCTTCTCGAAGTGAATTTTTATATTTTCGTCGTTTTGTTTGAATAACAAGCGAGCTTCGACATCTTAAGAACTGATTAATATATAAATATATATAACTAGATATAGGCCATAGGACACAAATATCATCCTCTTCCTCTGTTCAAACTTCAAATTTTCTATCTCTGTATCTCATCTTTCACCTGTGAAACAATCACAAAATGGCTTCTTCTACTTCCTTGGCTTTTCTAGCTATGATTTTGGTAGCTCTTCCCATTACTGCTTTTGGGGACCATTGGGATGACATAGCTCCTACAGCTGCTGGTTCTTCCTTACTCTATCTCTCTTTTTGTGTCGCGTTTATTCATATCGAGATTGACGTATTCAAATAATTTCGAGAAATAATTCATCTTGACACGATATCTCTATTGTAGTGAATTGTTACCATGTCGAAGTGGATTTATTGAAATTTAAATATATACATATATATACATATATATATATATATATATATTAAAACCACACCCATATATCTTAATACGAACAAACAGTCTAGCTACCGAATGTACTTATGTCTTACTCCTGCTTATTATGTACTAATTTAGTGTTGTGTGTAAATTATAGAGGAGATATGTAAGGATGTAGACTGTGGAAAGGGAAAATGCAAAGCCAAGTGGAGCTTACCATTAGGCTTTGAGTGTGAGTGCGAATCGGGTTGGAAGCGAAACGACCAAGACGGCGACGGCGATGATGATCAGAAGTTCCTTCCATGTGTAATTCCCAACTGTAAGCTCTCTTTACTCTCAAGCCTTCTAATTTATCTCTTTGGTCTCTTCTACAATTATTCATATAGTTGTTTGACACTGCATGTGGGACATGATTCATATGAAGCCTAACAATACTTGCATTAGAAGAAATAACATGATTTGAATGTTCAGCAATTAATTCTATAAAGAATTACTAAACATTTTTTGTTTTTGGTGTTCAGGTACTCTTAACTACAATGGTTGCCAGCCAGCTCCACCTCCAGTCCCCGAAAAGGAAGTTCCAAAAAATAAATCTTTCTTTGATCGTAATGATCATCTTCATCTCAAGAACTTGTTATGATTTTCTTTTCTTTTTTTTTTTTTTTTGGGTTTTAGCAGTAAGTAATTTCTTTTTGTGATTTTGTAGCTTGCTACTGGGCCTACTGTGGAGAAGGGAACTGCGTAAAGAACAACACCTGCAATTACAACTACAAGTGTGAATGCAACTCAGGGTTCTACAATCTTCTCAATAACTCAATCTACCCATGCTATAGCACATGTAAGAACACTAATGACTAATATCGTATATTTCTAGGTACAAGGAAAAAAAAAACAAGTACTTTTTGTGACTAACTAAATGGATTTTTGGATTTTTTTGGGATGTTTTTAAGGCACACTCGGATCCGATTGTTCAAAGCTTGGGATAGTTGCAAATTCTAGTTCTGATGGGGATAAAAACAACCAAGGTGAGATCAGATGTGAAGAAAGCAGTTTCATTTTGGCACTCAAGTCATTATATTCGAGTTTAATTTAGAAACTAGTGCTGTTTTTTTTTTTATAAAAAAAAATGTAATAATTGAGGTGTCTACAGTCTAATTGACGGATTTATTTTTTAAGGTAAAACATGATTTTAAAAAATCTTAATGGTGGTAGGTGGGTCAAACACCTTACCTTAGTCATGGTTAATGTTGAACTTTTCACGAGTAAAATTGGCTTGTTCAATTCAAAGAACTTGTAAATCTTTTCAAACAAGACATCTCTTCGCAGTTGACTTACGCAACATTACTATCCTACGGTGCAAATTCTACCTAAAAACATATTTCCTTAACTAAACAAACATTCAAAAAAGCTGAAAAAAAAGAAACAAACAAACATTCAAAGAAGTTGTTTCATTTCTTTCTTTCTTGTTTCTCAGGTACATCATTTCTGCCAGGAAAGTTCCATTGGATGATCATATTCATGGCGTCCTTCGGTTTGGTCCTATGGAAATAGTATGTAAAGTTATGGAATATGATTGTTGTGTCAGTCAGCTTCTAGTTTATCTCATACGTGTTTTCACATAGATTATTTCACTCGATCATTGGTATATTTAGGCTGCGAGATTTTTCTGTATAAAAGCTTGATTTTGTATATGAATAAAAAGGCCAGAGTCATTTGTTGATGATGACTAGTATTCAGTACATTATTATGTACGATGTAGAACATTTGTTAGATGTCGTATGAGTTGTGAGTATAGTGCCTGTTTTGATTGTCTTGTCGTATTCGGTACATTATTATGTACGATGTAGAACATTTGTTATGACTTATGAATATAGACGTATAGTGCCTGTTTAGGTTGTCTATGACTAATGATGCATCCCTTTTTCCTTCTCTATGCGTTTCTCTTTTAAATCAATGAAATTGACAAGGCAATTACATTTTGAAAGTTATGAATTAGGTATTCAAAACCATGTCAAGATCTATAATCTAGAAGGACAATACTCACCCACCCATCTATCATCTATCCAAAACATTAAACACTTGCTTTTTTAAGGAAGAACATATCGCATATCTATCCAACCAGACAAGTTTCACATGTATCATACACAGCATACCAAAGAACAATAACTAAAAAGCATAACTAGTTAAATTATCTGGGTAAAAGTCATTCTGCTAATTAGAGCTTGTTTGGTAGGAGGGAAAAGTGGAAGGAGGGAGAGAGGTGAGGGGATTAGCAGAAGGATTTTAGGACTTATAGTTGTTTGGTAAGAGCGATAAGAGGAAGGAGTGGATTGAGAGAGTCAGAGAGGAATTCCAAATCCTTCAAAGATATAAAGAGATGAAAAGAGAGAATCCATTCTAAACACAATAAGAGAAATAACATCTTTCTCATTTTCCTCAATAAGAGAAATAGCCTTAGTTATGAGCATTGTTATTTATCATTAATAGTGATGCATCCATAGTCAGTAAAAGAGAACAGTCACGTATCGAAAGGCACAATATCTAGTTCAATTTTAATGTACTGCTACATATGCAGTGGTTGTATCACCAAAAGTGAAAAATATCATTTTTCTTTAGTTAGAGTGTGCCTGCGGATTAGACTCAGACAATGCCTAATGAAAAGAAGCCTTTATAGATGTGCTTAGTTTAAGTACACAAATCATATTCATAAAGCACTTCTCTCGCTCAAAACACTAACTAATTCATCAATCTTCGGTTCTGACAAGCAATATGAAGTAAGAACTATCAAATGACGTTTTCAAAACATAGCCAATAAACAGTTTTAGCTAAACGCGTCAAGCTAAATAGATGTTGAATTCATTCCTAAGGTACTCTTACTTGGAGCAACAATAAAGTAATAACGTGTTCTGTGCATCTCACAGTCTGAATCTCAGTACAAATTCCCTAACCAACAATGAACAAAGCCTAATCAAAATATATGAACTCTTGCCTCCAAGAATATCCCAACACTCCACTACACTACATTGCCTAAGCGGATTATTCCAAAACTAACTTAGGCCAAAAGACAAGCTGCCCACATTTAACCATGTTAAGATGTTATGAGGGAAAAAAAAAAAATATATATATATATATAACGTTTCATCATCATTGCTCAACAATACCAAAAAATTTATAGTAAGGACAAGTATCACTAGTATTATTCCTTTTCCCAATGCCCAACAATCTACAGAATATCAAAACTTGCAAGCAAGCAAGAAGTAACTATTGAACAACAACAATAAATCAACAAAAAAAAAAAAAGAGAAGGCCTTACAGAGAATTCACTCTTAGTTTCATTCTCACTTGGTCTGGACATCAACGCCATTAGTCCCAGCAATGATAACTGCAGTCGCCATATCCAAGAACAATCCATGTTCCACAACCCCTTCCAACGCCGAGATCTCCTTCCCCGCCGCAATGGCGTCCTTAATCGGTGTCTTGAAGTACAAATCCACAATGTAATTCGAATTATCAGTCACGTAAGGCTTCCCATCGGAATCCAATCTCAGCTTCGCGTCAACGCCTTCTTCCTTGAACAGCTCCTGCAATCTCACCAAATTATACTTCCAACAGAACTGCACGACCTCTACGGGCATGGCCAATCCGCTCCCGCCGAGGCCTTCGACGAGCTTCGTCTCGTCGGCGACGACAACGAACTTGTCCGACGCCGCCTCGACCATCTTCTCCCTCAGGAGGGCACCTCCGCGACCCTTGACGAGGTTGAGGTCGGGGTCGACCTCATCGGCGCCGTCGATGGCGAGATCGAGGCAGGGGTGGTCGTCGAGGACGGAGAGAGGGATGCCGAGGGAGCGGGCCTGTTCTTCCGTCCTTTTAGAGGTGGGGATTCCGACGATGTCGGAGAGTTGGCCCGTGCTGAGGAGTTGGCCCAGCTTGGCGACGACGAAGGCCGCGGTGGAGCCGGTGCCGAGGCCCAGGACCATGCCGGATTTAACGTACTCAACGGCCTTGTCGGCGGCGAGCTTCTTCAGGTCGTCTTGGGTCAGGGCTGGGACTGACTGAGCTCTGGTGGTGGAGGTTGGGGTGCGTACGTTAAGGGGTCTTGGGGTGCGCAGGATAAGGCGGGTGGTGAAGGAAGAAGAAGAGGCATTGTAGTGGTGGTGGGTGGAGGAGAGAGAAGGAGGTGAGAGGAGAGATAATGAAGAGGCCATGGAGATTGAAAAGTGAAGAAAGGAGGAAGAAAGAATGTGTGAATGTGAATGGAAAAAGGCCGGACCTTTTTGGGTGAGAAGTTGCTTTGGTTGGTTGGTGACTTGGTTTGGGTAAGATAATTGGAAGGTGTATGTGATTCTGTAACAGCTTAAGAATATTCTTTCTTTTCTCTTTTGTTTTTTTTCCCCCTTCGGGGGGGGAACATTGCATGGTAACATTTTATAACTTCTGTTGAAATTCAATAAAATTTATAGAATATTATAAAAATAGTAAAGATAACGTAGTAATTATCACAATAATGTCATGTTTTGTATTATCTAAAGGTATATTCATTATTTTAATGATATGAAATTTTGTCATTCACGTAATGTTTTAAGATTTGTACTATATTTAAACTCACTATATGTGTAAAGAATAGGGTGGCAATCTTTGTTTGTCAACCCGTTTAATCGTATCAAAAAATATTAATTTAAACACGATCTATTTATTTAACGTGTTAAAAATGTCAACACAAACATGACTCATTTATTAACTATGTTAATCGTGTTAACCCGTATAACTCGTTTAAATTAATATATTGAATAAATAATTAATATAATAATGACTTATTTAATATGATCGTGACAAGTTTAACATGTTTATTAGTCAATTTATCTTTTTCTTTAAGAAAAATATATAAATTTCACCTACAAATATTAAAATTCATATTATTTGTATTTCATATGTCATATAAACTTTCATGTTAAATCACATATCATTAGATTGCATATGACACATATAGTTAATTGTGTCAATTCGTATTAAAAGGTTGTCATACCCAGAATTCTCACATACTCGTTGGCCAATGCATTTCATGATATTTTAACATCATGCATATGATACATGAACACTTAGTCATTTTATATGCAGTTATTTGTCATAATGGTGTACATTATAATTTGAAGTGAATTATATGTTTAATATGTTCATTATATAGGCGAATGACTCGGGGTTGCCAAGAGAAGGATCCGATAAGTTGGAAAATGGACAACAATTTGTTCTTAATAATATTTACAAGAATTACTAAGTGAAAAGTAAAATATGGAGTCCTAATGGGGCTTTAAGGCAAGTTTAATGAAAATGTGCATATTGGTGTGATGTGTGGAAAGGTATGGACTTGAGTTAATGTGACAAAGAGACTACTTAAGGTGATTCTAAGGTTGAAATAAGGTTAAGAAATGGATGATGATAAGGGTTTAACGATCATGTTACTTTAGAAGCCCTAAATTAAGCATATTTTGGCATTTAAGTTTGTGGAATCAAATTGAGATTTTATTAAGGTTCTAAAGGAATTATGGATCCTAATAATTAGGGTAAGAATGAAATAGAAAGTGATTATGTTAGATGTTTAAAATTGAATGAAAAATATGGGAGATGTAAAGTTAGGATTTGTCACGTACCGAAATTTCGGTGCAAGCTCATACACCAAATTTAGTATGCCAAATGATTGGCTAAGATCTTGTTCATACTTTGGGAATTTGTGTGAATGTTGTGTGCAAGAGAAGGCGGTGAGAGAGCTACTTAGGTGATACTCTACTTAGAGGAGAGGAGAGTACTTCATGGTTAAGTAATTAAGGTGCATACTTGTCTCTTTAAAGTGTTAAGCAAGGAGGTGAAGAGGAATTAGCCCCAGTATCTTCTAGTCTGACCCTCATCTAGTTCCAAAGTGCTTCTCTAGCCATTTCTTAAGAAAACCAAAGCAATTCCAAGTGGCTTGATGAAGGATTGATCATAGGAACACCAAGAGATTGAAACTAGTGTAAGGGTCTGCTCCAAGAGTTTATAAGAGGTTTAGGAGCTAATCATTTGAATTGGAGGTGGGAGACTCACAAGAAAACCTAAACTAGATCAAGATTAAAGCCCATAAAAAGATTGGAGCTAACTCAATTGGAAGATGGTGGTTTAAAGCTTGTTTTCTTGGACCTGTCTAGATTCAGTTGTTCACATCGGATCCACCAAGAGGAACCTCAAAGTCATACTTTCTGTCATACGGTGCGAGGTAAGTAGAATATCACCTGTATCACCATAATAATTGTGCATAGTACATTTGTGATACTTGATTATGTGATGTATATGTATAATGCATAAAGTACGTACATGGTGTAAAATATAAGAAAATGCTATATAAGTAATGAGTTGATAAACTTTCACCAAAGTAATAAAAGGAGTGATAATTTGTAGTGATTAGTAATTAGACTAAAATAATCCCGATGGGGATAGTAAGGACCACTAAGTCTCTGGGAGACATATGATATTTATTTGGCCATAAGGTCTGGGACTACTAAGTCTCTGTGAGACATATGATAATCATTGTGAAGGCCATAAGGTATGAGACTACTAAGTCTCTGGGAGACACATGATGCTATTAATAATGGCCACAAGGTTTAAAACGGTAACAAGTGAATAATTAATGTTATATGAAATAGAAATGGAATAATAGGAAAGGCTGAAGTTAAGATGTGATGTTATATGTTCAAATTGCTTATTCATGCATATATTCTACTTACTGGGCTCTAGCTCACTTATTTATGGTGATGCAGATGAAGACACATCCTGGCATTAGATGTACATTATTTTGGTGGTTGGCTAGCGTCATCCTTAGTACCAGGACTTTTGTATATAGACAATGCTTACCTGTTTGAGGCCCTGCGTTACTAACTATTTACTATACTCTTGTTTTGTTTGTAAGAACTGTCGAATCTATTTTTGGGATATGTATTATATTGTATATACGGGACATTAGTCAAAAGAAATACTAAAATCATGTTTTTGTACCATTACGCAAAGAAAGTCTTAAAAAGTTCAAATTTGTCTCACATTTTAATATTACCAATCTAAAGAAAGCTCATGGTAATTTAAAAACAAGTTTTAAAAGAGTAACGACACCTAGCATAATTTAGTAATTTTAAGGTTAGACTAGGTGGGTGTTACAGAGGTTAACCCTAATCTAACCCATATATTAATCGTGTTAATCGCGTCACCTAATTATGACTCAAACTCATTTATAGTAAATATATACCCACTAACTTCATGCTGTTTTCGAGTCGTGTTTCGTGTCATGACCCAAATTGTCACCCTAGAGCCTCATGTGTTGAATTTACCATAAGAAAATATAGGTAATTTCTACTAAAAAAATATATGTAATCATGTAGCTCTTATAAATTTAGTAAAAATTACTGAAATTATCTTTAGAGTATATGAATCTAAAATTTTATCTTTTATTATTGATTAATACTTTTTTGATTAATATAATTATTTGATTAGAAATAATATTAATTAAAAGTATTTGTCTCATTTCCTCTTTTATTTAATGTAAATATAAACGAGGCCGGTTATGAGCGACTGAATTCATATTATCCCTTAAATAAATGGGTTTGCATCCCTATGATGGGGCGAGATCCTATTTACCCCGACCCTTTTACCTTCCTAGTCCTTAGTCACCATTATTTTGGAGTTCCTCCGTTGACTCCCAATTGAAACTCAAAATTGGCACTTCCCTTCTCATTTGTGGTCCCTGCTTTCTTTCTTAGGTACCCTTTCTTTTTCATCTTCATTCCTCTAAAAATTGCAGTACTGTTATTTTTGTATTATAGACATTGTAGGGTTCTTGTTTTTATTTCAGGTTTCATGGTCTATATTGATTATATTCTTAAGTAGCTTTTTCTTATTTTGTATTCTATCGGTTATTAAGTTTTAGGCAAAATAAAAAGGAGTCTCGTCCCACATCAGTTTGAAAACAAAAAGTCACAGGTTTGAATCTTGCATAAATACCCTATAGTCTTTGCTGAAATTACTCTACTTAGAAACATTAAAAATATTAGTTTTTTGCTCTAGGTAGTTAGTAAGTGTTTGGATAGAAGGCTGGTGTATTTGTGTCATTAAGAGTGTGAGAAAAATCTATATAATTATAAAAGATAAAGTATGTGTCATGATATTTAGTGTTCTAAGTGATAAGTTAATTCACTTTTCAAATCTCAATGACAAAGAGGAAGCTATTTATTACCATGCTGGTAACATTGTATTCATCAAAAAGCTCACCTTTGAGTGACGGTGACAAAGCAAAGAAACTAATATCAAACATTGTATTCATCAAAGAGCTCATCTTTGAGTGACGGTGACAAAGTAAAGAAACTAATATCAAACACTGATTGCCTATTTGCATTGTTGTTGATGACGCATCCGCATCCATTTTTTTCTTTAACAAGCGTGTTGCCTGTTTAATTTGAAACTTTTGAACATTGTCTTGGTTATTACTTACAAAATCAAGTTGATTATATGAATTTATAAAATTTTACTTCGGTCAATAATTAACTACTATTTTAAAAGTTAAAACCTTTGGTTGTCACAAAGACTCGAAGATAAGTTTTAATTCTTAACTAGCAGTCGGCCCTTAAAAATTTTAAAGAAATATCATGAGTATGTAATATTATAATTTAAAATTTTAAATGGGTCCATTCGTTTCGTAGGTTCGAGTTGAAAACTTGGATTAAAAATTAGACAGTGAATCAATACTAGATAAAATATTATAGTACAAAAAATTGAATGTAAAATTTATATAAAAAAAATACTGTAACAAAAAGTTTGAATTGTAATTCAAATTGTAAAATGAATGAACCGATAATTAGTCATATGAGATATAAAATGGGATAATAATAAAAACTTCCCTTATTAATTTTTATTCCTTTTTCTAGATGTGTTATTCCTCCCCTTCTCCCATTCAAAAAGTGATTGTCCACTCTCCTAGACTAAAAAGGCCACGAAGTGAAAATAATGAGAGCGTTTGAAATTCGTTCTAAAATAATTTTATTTTTTGTATGAAAATGAAAATGAAAACGTTTTTCATCTCAAACAGAAATCATTTTTAAAAATGAGTTTGATAGTTTTATCAAGAGATTATTTTCAGTATAAAAAACCCATTAATCTCTCTCTCTGCTCTCGAGAGGAGAAAATGAAAACAAAAAATGAAAAATGACTAAAAATCATTTTTTTTCTCTCATTTTACACTAAACCAAAAAATAAAATCTTTGTCATTTCATTTTTTTGTCTTTATTGCGCCAAACGCCGTTTTGAAAACGTTTTCATTTTTTCTTTCTCAAAAAACATGAAAAATAAAAACGGGATTAATTTCAAATACAACCGCCTTTTCCATGCCCACGTGAACATTGCGTTTTAATTTGTACTTCATTTTTAAAATTTTTTTTTTATTATCTCGAAACTATTTTGAGATATAAAAAGATAAAATTATTTTTATTATACAAATTTATTTATTGACTATAATTTAAAAAAATTAAATATTTTTTTTAATTTTTTTTCTTTTAAAATTCTGATCAGTTAGTAAATTTTATTGACTATAATTTAAAAAAATTAAATATTTTTTTAATTTTTTTTCTTTTAAAATTCTGATCAGTTAGTAAATTTTTATAATAAAAATAATTTTATCTTTTCGCATTTAAAAAATAAATCTAAGGTAATTTTGTTTTTTCTAAATAGTAAAAATACCAACATAAAATTTAAAAACAGATCGTACCACTTAAATTTCGATACAACAGGCGTACTAAATGAAAATTTTCCTGTAATATATATTCATAAGGCCCTCTCCTCATTCCTTCTATCGCTTTGCCGTTCAGCCAAAACTCCCCGTTACTTTTTCTTTGGAATTCTTTCCTTTTTCCACCAGCCATGTCTGCGGAATCAGCAAGCGCAATTCCAAGAAGCCAAGTGAGTATACCCACTTCCGATTTTCTGTTTTACCCGTGTTTTCTCTCTCAGAAAGCTATGGAAAATAGAACTTGGTAATGTAACATACAGCTGGGTTTTTAAGGGTAAAGACCCTCTTTACAGATTCCCAAAATTTCTTTTCGTTTCCTCAAAGTTCCAGGCTTTGAGCAAGTAAGGTCAATCTTTGATGGGTTTTTTTTCCCCTAATTTTCTGGTACTCAATCTTGTGATGATCAGGTTGATCTGTTGGACTTCATAGACTGGTCTGGGGTTGAGTGCCTCAACCAAAGCACAAGTCACTCTCTTGCCAACGCTCTCAAGCAGGTGATTTTCACCCATTCCAGGGTTTTGTGTGCTCCTTATTTTGTATATGATTTGTAAAATAGAAAACCCATG